TAATTCTTCAAAAACTTTAATTACAAAGCATTTGCAAAAAAACTAGAAATCTTATTTAACAAGCAACTGTAATTGTAAATCGAAAATAATTTTCCGACGGATTATTCCCAGCTTGTGTCATATACTGGTTTTTATAGAAATTCAATAAAGGAGAACGAGGGAGGGGGTGCAGGGCTACCATGAGCCCAGCAAAATGGTCTCCAAGCCTCCGTATTTGCAGATGAGTATTCAAAATGACCTGTTGCTACTACCCCTTAACGTTAGAATATATATTATAGAATTAATACATAACAATTTGTAGAGGCAATATTTAATTTTTAAATAGTTATAAAGTGTTTTCTTGAATATCCAAAAAATATTGCATAAATATTAAAATATTAAATATTTTTTTACAAAATTGTTTTACACATTACTACTAAAATACTTATTCTAAAGAATAGGGGTAGCGGTGGGTCATTTTCCATACTCATCCACGAATCCAGACACTTGGAGACCATTTCGCAGGGCTCTTGGCGTCCCTGCACCCCCTTCCTCGGAGAACACAAATTGAAACCAGGTATACACAACGAGAGGCGTGGGTGGGTGTATGGGATGGGGGGGGCTATATGATGGTACACCGGGCACATTTTGCACTTTTTGCATTTAGCCTTTAAATCTGAAAGAAAGTTTAAATAGTTGAAACTTAAAAAATAGATATATTACCATACAATATAGATGTATTACCATACAATATAGATATATTACCATACAATATAGATGTATTACCATACGATATAGATATATTACTATACAATATAGATATATTTAAGCAATAGTTATCAAAGATATCTAAGGCTGTAGACGTAATTTCCTATCAAGTCTTCATGGAAAAGAAATAAATAGAGTGGCATGACCGATTCACAACGGTACCATGCAACCCCAACCTGTACAACAATGAGGAAAATGTCGTCTTTTCTATCTTTAAATCCATGTCTGGCAATTTTCTTCATTAGGTTTGCAGCATGACTTTTATAGGTATGCTTACATAGTACCATCATTGTGAATTGGTGGTGCTACTTTTTGAATATAGGGTCATAGTATTTACATTTGTATATATTTAAATTTGTTTCTGTATGCTTTAAAAGATAAAAAATGACTGAAGAGAAATAATGCTGAACCTCCTGGAGTTTCATGAATCATCGTGTTTTCATCTTATTCTGAATGACAGAAATCGTTTGGAACATTGTATATTTCTCCTGAAAGGAAATCCTTCGATAAATTAATTAATCAAACCAAAGCTTTGGGTTCTGTTTAAACCTATCTGCTAGGGTAAACATAACAAGAATAACCAGGGGGGGGGTGATTCCCTGTACGAGATATCACTATTTTTCTTTAAAATTTCTTTATTATTAATTTATTAAAATTCAACCCCGGAAATGGGTTAAAACAGCAATTCAGGCCGAGTGCCTGCACGCCTTGCTCAGCTTGTGTTAAGCTTTAGGTTTAGAGACCGAGGCTTTTAAATTTTTCGAAAAAGTCTTAAGATTTGAGAATTCTCGAATTAATACAATTTCATGTTATATAAAATTCAAAGAAAATCAACCCCCTGGCCCTCCTCGCCCTCACAGCAGAAATAGGGTTATATGTTAGGATAAGGAAAGGAAAAAACGTAAAAATGCATGGAAAAGTGATCAAACTTCCATCTTTTTATTTTGAGCCTCCAGCTAGAAAAGTCGTCTTTATTTTTTTTAATTCTTTATTCACTTTTCCGTGTAATTTATTTCAAAAATGAAAATTAACGTTTTACAAACTTTTTAATTTTCAAAGTTTTATAAAAGTTATTACCTTCAGGAATTTTCTTGGCACAATTCTTTTTTTTATATTTTATTCAAACAGTAAATAGTATGAGTATCCTCCGTATCTGCCCCTCAAAAGACCATTAATAACAGAGCTGGGTGTCTCACTGAATAATAACTCTTCGAGAAGACACTTTGAGCTAAAAGCAGAAGTACAGATGGTAATAAACAAGTGACAAGACGCTGTATTATATATGATGTTAATGCGTAAGAAATCCAGATTGTGCCGTGGATAATTCACAAGAAAAGGATCATTTCTTAAAGAAAGACGCTGCAAGGGGCGGAAATCTATATATTTCCCTGATACTTTTTTGAACAATAGTAAAGTTCTTTAGAAAAAGTAGCGGGAAATCAAATCATAAAATATCTAAATACTTTTATACTTCTCTATGAGCAGCAGTATGGGTTTAGGGTTAAGCATAACACTACCCAGCCTTTAATCCATTTTCTAGATAAAATAGAATATGAGTATACTTAAGGAATTTTCATTGATTTAACTAAAGCTTTTGACACCTGTGATATAGATAATATACTACTCAAAAAGTTAGATAATTATGGGTTTAGTGGGATATCCAATTAGTGGTTTGAAAAAAATTATTTAAAGGGAAGAAAGCAGTTTACTTCAATCAAGGGTATAATCCTCTCTTGAAGATATACTTTGTGGAGTTCCTCAGGGGTCAATATTAGGCCCAATTTTATTCTTAATTTTTAATAAATGACCTTCCAAAAGCATCAAAATCATAAACAATACTTTTTGCTGATGACACAACATTACAATATTCTTTGGAAAATCTAAAAAGTATATAAGATTTTGCAAATTTAGAGCTTTCAAAAATTGCAGACTGGTTCAAAGCAAATAAACTGACATTAAATGCCCCTAAAACAAAGTATATACTTTTCAGAAAGAAAACAAAAGTTCTGGTATGTGACTCACTTAAACTTTTCATAGAAAATAAGGAAATAAATAGAATATGTGCTCGTTGTAAAAATGAATCCTGTAAGTTTGTGGGAATACATCTTGATAAAAAGCTAACCTGGAATCACCAGGTTAAAGCTGTAAAAAACATCTAGAGCAGTGCTTGCATTATCAAATGTATGAAATCTACTCCCAAGTAACATTTAGCATACTATTTATACCTTATTTATAACTTATTATTTAGCATACTATGTATAACTTATTATTTCGCTCATTTGTAAAATATGGATTGCAGCCTGGGGGAGAAATAAAAGTCCTGAAATGAAAAAATTAGCTTGCTCCAAAAACGTGCAGTTAGAATTATTGATAATGCAAAAACAGTTTCACATACCGATCCTCTTTTCTTTAAGTATAAAATCCTTTAGTTAAATGATTTGACTGAATTTAATCAAGCAACATTTTTGTATAAATGCACAAAAAACCTTCTACCCTCCTCATTTAACAACACTTTTTAAAAAACTCAGAAATTTTGAAAGATCTCCTAACTATCAAATTGACATTCTGAAAACAGGCTTATTAGAATATCTTCCCTCATATGACACGTTAGACATATTTAAAAATAGTTTATTTGAAATGTTATCTGACGCCTACATCTCAAAGTGCAATAAACACTCTTGTTATTCTTGCAAAAAATGAATATAGAACTTTGTAGATTTGTGTACATGCTCAATCTTAATCTGTTATACCTATACCCTTAACTTTAAAACTGAAAAATCAATAATTTTGTTATGCTGCACCTCGGTCTCTCTAAATTTAACTAGTACAATCCCTGACTTATTGTAAACTTTCAAAACCTAGTAATATTTATCATATTATAAACGTTTTAATACTATTAGGTGGGGATAATACTCAAAACAGCAAATAGCCAATCTCCACCTAATTGCTATAATTACATACATATATGTATGTGTATTTTTAGCAATAAACTATATTTTACTGTTACGTCTGTATCACATGACCAGCATTTCCGCCAATGGCAGTGCATAATCTGGTCACACGGCTCCAATTCTGTATTATGTGACCAGATACCAGATATATGAGTTTTTGTATAACATTGACACAGTTTTATATAAATTTCTTAAAACTGTGACATCAGATAGAACTAATATTGGTCGCGATCAACTCGTAAAATGTTTTATAGGCTTCCGCCTTTATCTCTTTCATGCTACCTTAACAGTCCCTCTAAATATATTACAGGGTGTCCCACATCAAATTAGACCGAGTCAATGGAGTCAATGGGTCTAAATTACGATTTGGGGGATAAATCAGAATATTTAAGAAGAATTACTCATTTTGAAAAATTAAATAAGTCTAATAGAATTTTTTTTTGCAGTAAATGCTAGATTTTCCGAGTATTATGTGCGTATTTTGGCGTTAAAGATTGGAGATAATCTAATATGATATGGGATGCTCTGTAGATGATAGGATGATATGGATAAGTATAGTTCCGTAAAGGCTTTTCTAGTTGAGGATCTTATATTTGTTTCATATGTAAAGTGTTTACTTATAAATATAGACTTTGTATTCCTTTGTGAATATTTGATTGATGCTAAAATATAAGATGGAGAAACTAAATTTGTTTTTTGAATTTGGTATGGGAGCCAGATTTTTGAAATAAATTACACTTAGTTAAACCTTTGTATTTGAAACTGGAAAATTAACTCTAAAAACCAAAATATTTTAATTCAGTTAATTTTGAATTACAAAATAATTTATACTTATACGAGATTTTTATAATTTAAAAGACATCTCCTAAGCTGTAATTTTGTACACACTGTATACATTTTTTTTGGTAATTTGGGACCAAGGAGCTATGTTAGTTCAAATAAACTAAGTTCAAAATGCTGCAATGATAGAAAATTTGCGTTAGTGGCAAACAAATCAGTTCTTTTTATAGAAATGTTAGCTTATGATAGAGATAAGGGATAAATAAAAAATGAAAAAGCGGTGAAAATGATTTATGTGGAATGGTTTATAAAGATAGATATAATTGTGATTTATAGTTATAGAAGGAGATATAAAACTTTTACAGAATCAATCATGTTGTAAAATTAGGATGATTATATGGCCATTTTCTAATGGCTTAAGTCAATAAAAGCCTTCACAAAAAAAATTTTTACAATTTTTCACATTTTGGAAAAAAAATAATAACTTTAAAGATGAATTTAAAAAAGGCTTCCATTGATTACTTCCATTCTTCTTCTTTTTCAGGTGGGGCTCTCTGCTTGCCTTTTCCATGTTTACGTTCCATTCCCTGTTTACGCCCTTAACTGAAACACAAAGAATTAATTTTTGGGGAAAAAGACCAGCCAAGATTCCAATTGTAGCATCATATGATTTAATCAATACTTATTTCTTGTTAAATGGAGTGGCTGGTTAGACATGGTAGTTGAGCTGAGAATGCATTATTATAGAGAAATATTTTAGAAAAAATTTGAAACCTATAAGACGTTTGTACAAGGTGTAATTTTTCAGAACCAGTCACAATTCAATCATTAAATCATTGATACAAGTGTGAGATACGTTTTGTTTTGTTTCTTTTCTCTCTCAAAGATCTCAAACATAAGATGCTTCATCTCGATGTTAATTAAATTGATTACCATTCATTTTCTTGATATTATATTTTACCAGATTCGTTAAAAACCGGATTTTTTAAAGTGATTTTTAGTGAACCCGAAATTAACACACAAATGTGCTGAACTTTATATAAAACATCTGCACGGACCGAATTGGCCTTTTAAATAATAAAAATAACTATTGTAAAATATATATCTTAAAGAAATAAATTACTCGTCAAATTTCATATGGTCAAGCCACCAGGCTGCTAAGATATGTATTTTTAACAATAACAAAAAGTTTTAAAAAATTATATTTTGAACCCTTTTGGGAATCTCGAGAAAAATACAAATTATTCTAGAAATAAAAAAAAAACGCTTTAAAATTCTTTTCTGAGAATAGTCTTAAACTTTATTTTTCTTTTTGTGTTCAAGAAAATTAATTTAATCAAGAATTCGAGGATTTCCTTTAATTTATAAAAGAAAGGATTTGAGTCTTTGCCACAAACTCTGATTTTCTAATCCTAATATCTTTTCAACCCAATGTCGTAGACCTTAGATATTTCAAACCATGAATTATGTTAGATAAAATAATAAAAGTTTGAAATATCAAAGGTTTAGATCCATCCGGTTACAGATCTATAGAGGGGTTAGAAAATTTGAGTTTTGGGCAAAAACTTAGTTCTTTTAAGTTGTAATTTTCTAGCTGCAATTTTATTTTTTAAAAAACGAAATTTTTAAAATTTATTTGAAACATAGAAATTGAGATTTAAAAGATTTAGAACTAGTTTTTACAAAATGGAAGATTAAATTTGAATAACAATGCAGCATAACAAATAAAAAGAACTATGACTTGTACATATATTTTTGTGAATATCTACATATACAGACTACATAAAACTCTAAATTTGTTTTCCTTATATTTCAGCTTTATTTCAGAAAGACATTATAATTCAGTTTTAGATTTCATGGGTTTGTACTGTATGCATAATATTAAGTGACCCTCCATGGAAAGATGACAATTCCCTGTACCCTTAAAAGCTATGTTTTATCAAGCTTCAATTATATATCGATGTTTATAATCCTTAACATAACTATTTTCAATTCTAAAGGTTCCCTATTCTGTTTCAGAAAAACATGTTGTAAGCATGGAGAGAGGCTTATTTGTAAATAAACTATAGTTACGATAGCAGTGGGACGGATAACAAGCTTCATCTTATCTATATCGTGTTAAAAGATTCGGCTGTTAAAAAATACAAACCCAGAAAATGCTCCAAATAAAGATGGTATTATGAATCTAAGGCCTGAAAACTGATGTGAGTAAATCTACAGAGTATAGGAAAAATGTATTACGAGCAAAAATTGAACAAATTAAAATTATACCAATAAATCATGGAAAGCCTGAGCTCTCTGACGGATTCTCCGCCTTTCATTCGCCTCATTCGACGAGTTTCTTTGGATTCAATTCGTCAATACTAACTTTATGTTATGGAAAAACGGCAATGTTTTATGGAATTTTCGACATTTTCCCAAAGACGACTTCCTAACGGAAAGGCCAAACGCTGCAGCTAGGATGGGCTAGGAAGCTGATCACTGCGGCTAGGAAAAAATTGCCGCTTGGGAAATTGCACATTTTCCACATTTTTAAACAGATGACGTTTTCAAGGTTACCATTGTGAATCGGAAGCTTCCATCTATTTGTATGGAGGGTAACTTACAGTCCCTTTAAGACGACAGCACTCTATGAAATTACTAGATAGCCACGTTATTTTTGATCCTTTTTTATGTTTTTTAAAATATGTTTCTCAATTTGAAGTTTTGAGGGTTCCAAATAGCAAACTTAAATTTCGAAATATTAAAAGAAAACATTTTAAATACATTATACACAATTTTGCTGAAATAAAAGCCAACATCAAACTTGAAATTAAATTGGATTAATCAAAATTTAATAACATCATGCCGTAGAAAGAACACAAAGAGATTAGATGTTCACCTACAAGAAATATGACAGGAGGAGTAGGATTATAAAAGATTTGAAGAAATTACATTATTTTAAAATGTTTCTTTAAACACGGAGAGCAGAAAAAAAACAATAGTTTGACTGTAAGAAATACCTACTCCATAACAATTTCTCAAGACATATCTATCCAGGTACAGTCTGTCTGATATTAAATTCAACCATGACTGATCCACACGGCTACAATCCCGTAACTAATCAACCCCACTACACAGGGCGCGATCTTGTTAGCTATTGATGTCAATACAGACACTAACAATTAATTGATCAATGGTTCAACCAGGACACGACCCACACGGCTACAATCACGTGACTAATCAACGCCACTATACAGGGTGTGATCTTGTTAGCTATCGATGTTAATACAGACACTAGGAATCAATTGATCACTACCAATACTCAAGATACATCTCCCCTCATATGTTTCAACGAGAACTAATATTACTTATAATACCGTAATTAAATCAGAGTCTCAATCAACTGAGGTTTATTTCTTAGTTCATATTAGAAATGGGTTATTAACAGTGTAATTACAAGCTATGTGCTGTTATATCTTAAACATTGTCAACAATAGCAATGTGGGTATGACGGAGTTACATGAAATGGGTTAATCGCAATACAGGATTTGCTTAATTACTAAATTGACAGATACGTCGTAAATTACAATAGGCCTCAATTTTTGCTACATGACTATAGTCAAATATATGCATACATAAAAAAAAACTTTTTTACCCTTGTAATTCACTATCTTACGATAGTTCTTTATAGTGTTACATTCTGTATATTTCATTCTTTTTATCTTTTGCATAAATCCACAAAAATAAAACTGGGATATTCTCATCATCATGTTTGCTTAAACAAAAATAAAAATTCTGATTGGTTTGGCAACTTTTTTTGCAGAATCTTTTCTTCTCTCTGAAAGGTTTTACATCGGTATGTTTAAGGATATCTACTCGATATAAAGTAATATTTATCAATACTTATTTTGATTTAAACTCCTAACTTAATGAATTTAGAAAATATATGCTGTTTTAAGAAAGTTTTAGATAGATACTTGCAATCATCCAGAACAAAAAGTTTTATTAAAAATTAAACTTTATAAGTTTTATAGGAGTTTTTAAAAATATGAAAAAATCTTTTCTGACACCCCTAGGCTTAGTACGCCAATATAATTCACCAAAACCATACTGCAGTCCCTTAAGTTTCTTTTGATTTCCAAAAAACAGGTTTCGAAGAGTATCATATAGATACAATTTTTTGCCCACATTTTGCTCAGTCATCTAATGATCAAAATATTATAAAATAGAAAAGGATTCACTCACTTTGTCAATGAAATAAATGCCGCTGAACCAACAAATTGTCACTTTTATATCTGATAAATATTGTCGCAGATTTGTTTTTGCTTGAAAAGTGTTCAATTCTAACAATTTCATCCAAAGTTTCTGTAGATGGACTCCGCGACCACAAGGCACTTTTTTATAGAAAGATTGCAATTGAAAATGAACTATTTTTAGTTTCAGAAACATGGATATCTCATTCGTTCTTAATCAAATGAAAGTTTAAAGAGAACCGTTGTGAATGGTACATCCTGCGGCCACATCTCTTTAAACAAAAATATTTTGGCTAAAAACTAGAATAATAGTTTTGGATTTAATACTTAATATTCAAATAGAAAACTCATGTTTTTTTGTCTTGTTTTCCTGTTGGGGGTAAACTAAAAATTGAAAATTGGAAGTTAAAACCAGAAAATCAGCATACAACTTCTAACTTGTTTTGTTAAGATTAAAGTGTTAGGCTTACAGTTTTTTGAGATGTAGGGTTGAATACTTAAAGGGAGTGTTCACGAAAAATGAAAGGGGCTTAATGTGATAAAAAAGCGTTTTTGATTGCTACTAATCTAACTTCTATCTGTTGCGTCTATAAGGAGAAAATTGTTAAAAACGATTCACGCCGAAGAACGCAGCGTCCAGACAAATTCGGAAAGATGCAACATTCAACTCGGACCCTAAACAAATCAATTTAATTCCAAACAAATCATTCAGATATTTCAAACAGTAGTGATCGATTATTTTTCGACGCATTCGTATATAGTTAATATTTCATAATATTTTTGATTTTGTTTATTTTTTTTAAATAATTTTAGCTGGCGCTGCATTTTCGAATTTTCCCGGAAAATATGAAAATGTCGTCTTCATTATCAAAAATCCTCGAAAGAAAAATAAATGTTTTCAAAAGTAACTCTCAGATCATGAAAAATATCGCATTAAGCCTATACCCCCTTTCATTTTTCGCGAACACTCCCTTTAAGAACAATTTTCATTTGAGAAATTGCACTCTTTCATCCAGTCTGAGTCTACTTGGTTTTTCCATTTTCTAAATTGAATTATGCAAACAAAGAATGCATCTCAAAGAGTCGGACAAGATTCTGAGTTGTTGACTTCTTATGAAGACACTTTTAGACATTTGTGCAAGTATGTTTCTTTTATGACTACGGTTTGTATACTGTATAAAATAGTCTTTTGTTCGTCTACTGTAAATTTTAGTCTACTGTATATGTTAGTCTACTGTATATGTTCGTCTACTGTATATGGTAGTCTACTGTATATGGTAGTCTACTGTATATGGTAGTCTACTGTATATGTTAGTCTACTATATATGTTAATCTACTATATATGATAGTCTACTATATATGTTAATCTACTATATATGTTAGTCTACTGTATATGTTAGTCTACTATATATGTTAGTCTACTGTATATGGTAGTCTACTACAGGGTGTCCCCTATCATAAATTAGACTATTAACGGGCTCGTATTTTCTGGAAGACGACATTAATACATCGTATTTACAGATAAAACTTTGAAACACTGAAACTTTTATGTATATCTAGCAGACAACGAAATAACCACAAACATGGGAACCCTTAAAAAGGACACATTCATCCGTGGTCTACATGTATACAAAAAGAAATTGGCTCCTGGAGATCAATTGACTGTTTCTTTGGATTGGTTTTGGATGAACGAAAATCCGAACAGATACAGTGTAGCCGTGTTTGATTCAAGGCGAAGAAAGGTAAAAAATTGCATAATTTTCGTTACAGAAGCTCCCCTAAATCTCCCTTCCCCCATAATATCATAGAAACAAAAATTATAAAACATTAAATGGAAGTTATGGTACGCCTTTTATTCTCTAAATATGTAGAACCAAAGAAGAAAGGCGAACATTTGTTTTTACCAAACATAATTAAAAAGAGGGTCTTTTCTCATCTGTTAACAACCTCCTTCAAGTTTAGTAACCATTACATTTTGCCCCTACTTTTTCATATTTATAGCTCATTATACAACTGTTATTTCAGGTTGGACACATCGCTCGGGAAATGGAACTAAGCCTAAGACCATTGATGGAGNTACATAACATTACATTATTACAGTTTAAAAAAATATTTAGACTACGATTACAGTAAAAAATCCTTATATAGACATATTTACATTATTTAGTGTATTCACAATGAGAACCATTGTTCTCCAGGCACAACTGTGCTCTTTTCTTTACGGATTGGTGACACCTTCTAATAAGGTCTGGGTCCTCATTTAGTTCCCTTACCACCTGAAGGATTTTCTCCTCCAACTCCTCTAGAGTAGTTGGCCTTGGATGGAGATATACCCTGCTTTTCATAATTGGCCAAATGGCAAAGTCTAGAACAGTAAGATCAGGGGACCGTGGTGCCCAGCTGTGACCACCACGGCCATTAAGGTCTGCTCCAAGGCCTAGAACGTGGCCATCAAATTCTTTGTCAAGGTAGTCCATGAATTTCGGATTACGATGAATATTAGCGCCATCCTGCTGCCATGTTATTCCTATATCAATGCAATATTTTATGAATTTAAAAGAAATAATTCCATTTTTTGTTGATTTGTTTTTTTGAAGTGAAAGGGGAAAAATAATTATTTTCAAGAATTCCTTCCCCTTGGTGTTGCCCCCCCCCCCCCCCCTCCATAATTTCATTTTTAAATATTGAATATAAAACATCAGTACTTTTTGCATAAAAAAATGTTTAAAGGTTTATCCCAAAACTTAAAATCCTCTTGTTTTCAGGGGGCTACATCGGTGTAGATTGCAAAGAGATATCCTTGATAATGGGGGGGGGGAGATTTTACTCTTAATGACTTATATAATATTGCCCCTTGTAGACTGCCTCCATTTTCCTGCTTCAGCTTAGGAATGCACACGTTTTTAACGTGTGCTTGATAACTAGCTGAGTTCATTGTTCCCCGCACAAACAGAACATCAAATATTCGTCCATCCCAGGTTCCAGCAAAAACCATCGTCTGAAACATACATATTTGGTAAATTAAAAGGTCAAACATTGGATTAGCCAGACACTCCCTTTTGGATCAGTTACAAATAATTAAATGTGAACAAGGTTTCCAAACAATTTTAGACTTTCCAATTCAATATCCTTATTTTTCTAAAGCTTACATCTGATAAGGTTTAAACTGTTTTTAATAGTTTAAAATTCTTATTCTCACATTTTAAAAAGTACAAAATTCTTATAAATCTTAAATAACAAATCAAATTTTTGCCCATCAAGTAATTTACCACTGTACCTTCTTAGGAAATTTCTCCTTCATGCAAAGGTGATGATTTCCGTGTATTCCCTTTCTCCCTAGACCACCTTTCTTCTTAGATACCGCATATCTGGTACAGTTGTGTACATTAACAGAACCATCTAAATAAAGTTATTTATAATCAATTCATGAACTAACTAAGAATATGTTTATTTCAGACATGTGTTGTTTAGATCAGCTCAGATGGAAAATTTGTGTTTAAAAGTTTTTTATTTTTGTAAAATTTTGAAAATGCGCGAAAAAATATTATGAAATCCGCAAACTTTTTTTGTTTTTGTTTTATACTGTACAAAGAGAAGATGCTCACAGATAAAGCCANTTCAGGAGTTTGTCTTTCTGGAGTTTGTCTTTTCGGAGTTTGTCTTTCAGGAGTTTGTCTTTCAGGAGTTTGTTGGAGTTCTAACTTTTCAACAGTTATCAATCTGAAAGAATTGTAGTTGATATTTTTGTGCCAAGTGCCGTGGACTAGCCAGGGGGCCAAGAACAATGGCTGGGACCTGTGGTTATGACTCCAATCAGTTGTATGTTTTTAAAGGGACTGTAAGCATAATTTCAAGTTACATTCCCTGCAGATTCACAATGGTATCCTTTAACACTTTGACTGATCAAAGATATATACATATTCCTATAAATCTACTGAAACACTTTAAATTTCTGAACACTTTGCTTGTAAGTAGGGATGTTAACGTTTTCATTATTCAGAAAAACGATCGTTTTGTTATTATAACGACGGCAAAAAATCAAAAACAAAACGATCGTTTTTATAAAATTTGTCCCTTAGTTAACCATCATTAACGACGGACTTTCGTTAACGATCGTTAAAGACAACCTTTGCTAACGATCGTTTATATTTCATATTTCAAATTTTATTCAACTACAAAGCACGAGATAATACAAATAAAAATATCACAATTTACTATGTAGTTTGGACCCGCCTAATGTTAAGTTCATTTATGTAAAATAAATATTTTGACAGTTTTAAGTTCTTCAATAACATAAAAATTAAGTCTAACCTAATTTAGATTTATTATTAGTTCAGAATTGCTTTTCATTTTAAAAGTCAGAAACATATATTCCTAAGAGTTAATTGTACAATGTAGATTTCAGAAGTAAAGAATTTGATAATAAACAAGATGTTATTAAGGAGAAGGATTTTATTTTTTTCTCTATTTGTCATGTCTCATTTTTATACAAAAAATCATATGAGCTTATTTTCTTTGCTTGAATATTGTAGGCTTCACTTTCAAACAATAATGCCTTAAAACACTGATTTACGAATTAAGATCCCCACAGGTAGAATTTCTGATTGGGTCATTGTGTACAGTGGCTGTACAATAAGAAGTCTATAATTCCAGATGCCCCCTCTATTACTAATATCTCGATGGCTGGAACAAGGTGAATTTAGCTCTACCTTGTGGAAATTTGACCTTTTTCTCTTCAAGGCTCAGCAGGAACAGAAGCGACGGGGGGAAAATGGAGCTAGTTCATAGAAAATTTTTGACAGACCTATTGCAAGCCTTTTAAGATTGTCCAAGAGAAGTGAGATTACATTCTAAACCCTCATACATTTATATATATCCTATCTTACATTCTCTATGAAGCTGGACCAGGAGAAAATCAAAATCAAGAGCTAGAGGAATGGTTTTTACGGCGAGGAAAATGTTTTCACTTGGAAGTCAAACTAAAAGGCATAGGAAACCAAAGTTTTACGCACACCTAAGTTATTACATTATTTGAAGGGATTTTGTTTGCTGTTGACATTTTCGATCTGGTTACAAAGTTATTAGATAATGTTCCTTTAAAAACACGCTTTTTTTGTTATAACTTTTTTAACACACCTTTGTTTTAATATTTGATCAGGTTGCTTATAGTTATGTGGAAACCAAATTTTTTCTTCTGTTTTCACTTTTTTTAGACACCCTGTGTTAAGATTCAAAGATATAAAATAGAAAATGTTCTTAAAAATATATTTATAGTGTTTAAGAGAAAAAAGCAGGGACGGGCAAGTTTAATAATGTTGCCTAGAATGAAATCAATTTCTGACTGTAATGTTTGTCGTTGAAAACCTGGCGGGATTCAATGGAAACTTTCTTGTTTAAAGCAATTGAAATGATTTTAGAGTAGCGGGATTCAATGAAAATTGTTGCATCCCAAAAAACCAGCTTTTTTATAAATGAATGACAATTTTATCATTTCTCTATACTATCCATTTGGTTGTCTATTTTTAGAGTTGTGATAGGATATTGTGACAGATTTACAAAGTCAAACTTTTCAAGATCAGCTCTATAAAAAAATGTTTAATTACTAAATTACTTTGACACTTATTTCATCCATATTTTTATGAAAAAAAAATTTTGCTTAATTTTTTTATTAAAAACAGGCAATTCAGATTACTGTAGTGTGTGTCCTATATCAATGCTTTAACTTAACTGTTTTAATATGCGGAGAAGACATATAATTGCAGATATAAAGCTGTTCTTCAAGATATCCTTGATAGATAAAGATTATTTTCACCTGTATTGTTTTAAATATCTACTTTTGAGAAAATTTAACTGAAGTGGAAAAGGTTTTTTTTTATAATCTTTATATAAATGTTGCTTTCACATGCAGTTTTTAAGAAACGACAACAATCTTTTATAAAAAAAGGCATTTATTAAAGTAAATTATAAAAACTACAGATTGTTTTGTCCATTTCCTCTTGATTTTGTTAACAAGGACCTCCTCTAATTCTCATTCCAATACTTCCCCTCTCAAAACACATCCCATCCCTCCCTCATCCCATCCTTCCTCCCGCCCCCCACAATTACTCCTTCAATCCCATTTCTATCTAATGGATATATCCAATAACCATCCCCTGCAATCACTCTTCATCTCTTTACAAAAATTGACTCAGATGTAGTACACAACTAAATATTATAGGCAATTAGGAGGGGTAAAATCAAATAACCAAAGCCCCAACCTCCTTTATAACTCCTTCCATCTTATACATTATCAGTTTGGACAAATAAGATGCTTTAAAGTGTATTTGGATCCTTTGTACAAGAGCATTTGTGTAGGGGGCAAATTTTGTGCACTGAGGCCCGCAAACAAAAATTTGTAGTGTCCCCCTTAGAAACCCCTTTTACGAAAAAATATTGATACCTTTTTTAACGAATGTAAACTATTCCATCATATACACGTCATATAGGGATGTTAACATTTTTATTTTTTGAAAAACGACAACTAAAAATCTAAAAGGAAAATATCGTTTTTAAAAATGATAGTTTTTTCAAAAAGTTCGTTTTTTCAAAAAGTTCATTTTTTCAAAAACTTTGCTTTTTAAAAATGGTCGTTTGTAAAATGATAGTTTGAAAAACATTTTTATAAAAATCGTCGTTTCGATAGCGATCGTTAACAATGACCCTTCGTTAATGATTGTTAACAATGAACCTTTGTTTACAATCGTTAAAGACGACCCTATGTTAACGAACGTTATCGTAGAAACCGACCTGAAGGGCATCTGTACTTATCATTTAGTAGTTTTTAAGAAAATATCAAGAAGTTTTAGCTCCCCCACAACTTTATAACTTCATGTAAGACGACATTCAGCAAAATTCCATGTAATTTTTTTTTCAACAGCGATCATTTTTCTTAAAAAGACAGTTTTTATAAAGTTTGTTGGTTTGGTAACAATTGTTAATGACAACCCTTCGTTAACGAAAATTAAGGAGGACCCTTCATTAACAATGGTCAATAATTTTTTTTCTTTCAAATACGATCGTTTTTTTAAAAGCCATTGTTTTTAATAAACAATTGTATAAAAAACGGTCAAAAACAGCTTTGTTAACATTAAAATTAAGCAGTAAACAAAAAAAACCTGGAAATTGAAAATGGTCTTAAGATCAGCGAATAAAATTTTTTTATTTAATTTCAATCTTAGTAGAGAATATGACTCAGACTATGTTGAAAAACAACCAAATAATACTAAAGAAATAAATTTAAAGGTGGGACCATTTGGTCCTTTTTAATAAACATGAACATGTATTAAAAGTTTCTTTAATGAGAAATAAGGTCACTAGTGCAAGTGAAAATACTTTTTTCTTCAAATTGTGTCAATATGGGTACCAAAACATCTGTCTTGAAACACTGAACTTAAAAATGTTAAAATAAAAAATGTCGTTAAAAATAAAGGCACAACACCTACTTCTCAGCAGAAATTTTTCTACAATGACCCTTTGTTAATGATTGTTAACAATGAACCTTTGTTTACAATCATTAACGACGACCCTACGTTAACGATCGTTATAGTAGAAACCAATCTGAAGGGCATCTGTACTTATCATTTAGTAGTTTTTAAGAAAATATCAAGAAGTTTTAGCTCCCCCACAACTTTATAACTTCATGTAAGAGGACATTTAACAAAATTCCATGTAATTTTTTATGCAAAAGCGATCATTTTTCTTAAAAAGACCGTTTTTATAAAGTTTGTTGTTTTGGTAATAATTGTTAATGACAACCCTTCGTTAACACAAACTAAGGAGGACCCTTCATGAACATTAAATTTTTTTCTTTCAAATATGATCGTTTTTTAAAAGCCATTGTTTTTAAAAAACAATTGTATAAAAAACAGTCAAAAACAGTTTTGTTAACATTAAAATTAAGCAGTAAACAAACAAATAAAAAAACTGGAAATTGAAAATGGTCATAAGATCATCAAATAAAAATGTTTTATTTAATTTCAATCTTAGAGAATATGACTTAGGCTATGTTGAAAAAAAACCAAATAATACTAAAGAAATAAATTTAAAGGTGGGACCATTTGGCCCTTTTTAATAAACATGCACATGTCTTAAAAGTTTCTTTAATAAGAAATCAGGTCACTAGTGCAAGTGAAAATAGTTTTTTCTTCAAATTGTGTCAATATTGTGTCAAATTATGTCAAAACATTTGTCTTGAAACACTGAACTTAAAAATGTTAAAATAAAAAATGTCATTAAAAATAGAGGCACAACACCTACTTCTCAGCAGAAATTTTCCAGAGTCCTCCAACAAATCATATTTTTTTTTGGCTCTAGAGTAAAGAATTTTCAAAATGTAAAAAACAAAACAAATATTCAGTGGTTTAAGGAGCATCTTTAGACACCAAAATCGATATGGTTCCAAAGAAAAAATCGACCTCTCTTGATAATTTATAATTTTCAAATGTTTGCACTGACCCATCTAAAAAAAAATCTTTTAAAAAATTTCAGAATGTATTGTGTAAATTT